CAGAAAAGCCCAAGCTTTCTTAACACATAAGCTCTTGGCACAAAACCTTGGGTTACTTTCAGTTTTCTCACCATTAGCTGATCCTAGAGCCGAACTCCCTTTTGTTCTGAGCTGAGGGAAAATGATATCAAAGGTGAAGTCATGTGCCAATGAGGAATTTGCTAACTTTGCAGCAGCTGCCATGTTAGGTATCTAGCAGGTGTTTGCCCTGACTGGAGTTTCATCCTGCCGACTTTTTGTGGGCCAGTCACTCCAGCAAGCAAGGGAAACTGTGTGAAAATGGCTCAGGAAGCCTGCCTCTCCTTCTCCTCGTTCTCCTCTTCCTCCTTTTCTTTCTCCTTCTTTTGTAAGAAAGGCTATCATTAATTGTTATAGAGTATAGTACAGAAATGGTAAGATCAATAGAGTGTTGTAATTAGGCTTGAAGCCAGACAAACCTGGGCTTAACTCTGAGCCCAAATATAGGCACTAGTTTGAGGAGCACACGGAAATCGTTTAAGCGCCTCGGTCTTTCTCTGTAAAGTTGGGATGCAGTTTGTAAATTTACATACGCTAAATGGTACACTGTGAACATTATGTCTGGAAACCTTTAGGATATAAACATCACATTCAATATTTTTGCAATCTTTTTTTATTGAAAGGCAAAATTAGAAAGGTAAGCTTAAATCAGAATATCTGAAAATATGTGTGTGTTTGATTTTAGAATGCATTAAGAGTAGAAGTAAAAGAAAAAAAACAAAAAAAAAACAAACAAACAAAAAACAAAAACATGACCACAGCTTTTTAAGTTGGCTTAAGTTCCCTTTCCATTGAGATCAGACTGATATAATTAATTGTAACATCTTCCAAAAATGAACAATGTACTTAAGAAGCACTGTCTTCTATTAAGGATCAGGAATGCCTATCTTTCTCCTATATATAAATGTGGTATACCGATGTATATACTGATGTTAAATTGTGTTCAAAGTTGTGGAGGCTAGCATAGTTTAACAGGAAGGACAAGGCTACAGAGATAGCCAACCTGCGTCACTTCTTTCTGATTGTGGGAAAGTTGCTGAGGTCTAGGACCACATTATGCTGTATCTGTTCTACATCTGCTTTTCTTTCTTCTTCTTTCTTCTTCTTCTTCTTCTTTTTTTTTTTTTGGTCAGGAATTAGGCTATGTGAGAATTGTCACTTCCACAGGTAGAAAGTTGAAATCATGATGACTTGTTCAAGAAGCTATGAAACATTATCTGTAATCACCCAAAGTGCCTGAATGATAATGAAAACATTTATTACCACCTAGAACAGCCCATAAATACAGATCCTGACTATCCATTTCATATTTCAAAAACCAGAATGCTTTAAAAATATGACAGAATTTTACCTAAAAGACACAGCTTGTCCACATGTACTACCTTACTTAATGTGTACCCTTAACCGTGTGTGCTCATACATATGTATGTATTAAAGGTAAGAGTCTTTCAATTATTGAGATTAAGAAAACACTTTAGAGACATCTGGAAAAAATAGATGATGTCTTTAAAATGCAAGTTTGCCACCAAGATCAATAATAATTTTGTGACCGAATGGGTGCACCAATTACTTACTAAGATAGTCAATAAGTATTTTCTGTAAATATTGTCTTTACATGGGAGAAGAGGAAAGAGTTGAACAAAAAAAGAAGACATGTCCTTTGCATGCACTTGAGGCTACACCATAAAGATCAGTACAAAGGAAAGATTACAGAATCCACATTAAATAGGCATAGGTGTTTGTGATTTTAGAACTTTTATGCATAGATTTCAAAAGCCTGTATCAATTTGATTACCTCTGTAGTATTCTGGGCCAACTGCTGTTTTTTTTTTTTTTTCACATTAATCTCCTAGGTGGATTTTTCCATTTTGACCAATTTTATGCGACCCTGTTTGTCTGAATCACATTGCCAGAATTATAATGTTCACCAGTTGTAAACCTTTCTGGGTTCAAGACAAGTCAGCTGTTTTAATACTTTGATCATCATAACTGAGGTGTTTATGATCACTTCTCTCTGTCAATCAATGCTTACATATGTTCGTCTTATCTCCAAAACCTCACCCACTGCTCTTTTCAAGCTAAGTGACTGACAATCCTAATTCACACTGTTCAGCTATTACTATTTATTTTGCCATTTCCTTAAACTTATTATTCATCCCCACTGTTGGACTGTCCCAGCACAGAAGTTTTTCATATTGGATAGATGTGGGAATACTGTAAAACAGAGCAGAATAAAATGAATTAAAAAACTAAAATATACGTATGACATTTCTCCTTTCAGCCACAAAAACAACGTGTATCATGGAGTGACATGTTAAGAAATATTGCCACACATGGATTAAAATCATTTGAAAACAACACCCAAACAAAGGTGAAGGTGATCTCATTTTACTCTCTGCCGAAGGGTTCTGTTCTTGAGATCCCCTGGAGTCTCCATGGCAAAATTTTAGTCTTCTGTGGTACTTATCAAATTGTATTTTATACTGCAAGAACACTTGTGAGACTATGTCTAGCCTTGAGAGTGTTTGTTGTTCCCAGAATATATATCAAAAAGCTCATTTACCACAAGATAGCTTAAAGACCCCTTTTGAAGTCATAAAGACAGACTTAATCCAGGACATTGGAGGAAAGATTAATGATGGAATACAGCTAAATAAGAATGTCAGTCCATATGTGTCAGTCCATATTTCTGTTCCCTTTATGGCTAACAGACTCATTCTATTACCTAGCAAACTTTGTAATGAATTACACCATTCCTTCATGGTTACACAGAGTCCTGACAATCTGACCGCCAACCAACTCAACCAACCAGTAAGTTAAACAGCGTAGGCAGAAGACATCTTATAGGGCAGCATGGTGTTGACTCAAGAGTGCACTCAACAATTGCTGAGGCCCCTGCTTCTGAGTTACCCTTGACTTAGTGAATGAAAGTGCTGACATCCACTACCTTGAAGCTCACTAGAAGTGGGAACATTTATCTTGCCATAGTTCAGTCTAGAAGACCTCACAGCAAGTAAAATAGGTACACCCCATAACTGTTAAGTGAATAAAAGGGATACCACAGAGATTTGTGTTACAAACAAAATGTCCACGGCTGCTGACTGGATGAAGTACTTGGAGAGTATTGCTGAATAAAGGCGATTCAGATCCAACTAACAATGCATATTAATTACCTGCAAACTTGACTCAACAGGGAAAACAAACCAAAGCGTGGCTATGACACAGTTACAAATCTTTAGGTATTTGAATGACACCAGAAAAACTGGGTTAGGGCTACAGGGGAGAAAGACCGCCTCTCCACCACATCCTTTCCTTAGCAAGCAATAATGACGATGGCAAAGGACTGGGGAAATGAAAAGCATGCCACCCAATCATAGATATCCATCATGCCCCATCAGTACACACAAAGCAGGCAAGCCCTTCACCCAGTTTAAGCTAATGATGTATCTCTCTGCTTTCCCTGGACCACAGAGGGCTGCTCATTTTGGTAAAGCTAAGACCAATGTCAGCCACTGAATTACTGCCAATAAAGTGCCAATCTCTAAAGAGGCAAGGCAAGATTTGCACTAGATTCTAACTACTAAATTGTCGCTTACCTCAGGAAATGAGAATTTTCTCTTAACAAGTCCTGAGAAAGTTATTTGTATTTTACACACTGGTGAAGCTGGTAAATTTAACAAATGGGCATTTCGACAGTCTATGGTGGTCTTCCCTGTTTTATTATCTACGTAAAGGAGCATACATAGTCCCCACACCCCTGCCTCCCCCACACACTACCCTTTTCTTCTTGGGAAGCACCTGTCTTGGGAGTTCTAGGAGGCATCGCTTCTGAGTGCCCACAGGGTCAAGTGTACAAATGGTGCAGTGAGTCTTTGAGAAGCCACATTTGTCCCCGAGACTTGAATCACCTGCAGACTGCGTGCCTCATTGGCTGCACCACCTCAGTCCTGACAGTGTCGAATGAGTTTAGGAACCTCACTGAATGTCACATTTTGATTTGAGAGTTCAAACAGCCTAGCCCGTTTAACGTTGAAATGCCGTGTACTTTCTGCTGATGATGGACTTTTCCTTTTCTTTTGTTACTCAGGCAGCTGTGATCAATCTTCTTTGGTTCTGGGATACTTTCTGGGAGAGGAAGGGCATACTAAATAAACTAAGGTAGCAGCTAAGCACACATACCTGTTCTGATTCATAGAAAATCGCTACTTCTTTTTGCTATGCAAGCGCGCTCGCGCTCGCGCGCGCGCGCGCACACACACACACACACACACACACACACACACACACTTCCTGGAATCCCTGCCACATTCATAATCCACAGACATACCCATAGGGCAGCAAAATTCCATGACCATCCCGGCCAAAAACCAAGCCAGGCTGAAGATGAGAAAAGGTGGGGATGATTCCAGGTGGATGTGTAATCAGTAATAAGAAATACATCGAGCCCCGTTATGAACAGAAATCCCCCAATTGTTCAGGACACCCCCTCCCCCTTCCATCCACTGATTTATTAACCCTGAACAAAGATGTAACTGCAGGGTCTCAGAAACTTTTTTTTTTTTCTTTTCTTTTTTTTTTTTTTTTTTTGGTATTTGATTTGGCTTTGAATTTCTTCTTATCTAGTAATACCGTTCATCGCCCATTTTCTTTGCTCAGTTGCCCATCGTTTCCCTCCCACCCCTCCAGAAATGAAAGAAGCCATAGCTTCCCAGTCTTAAGGATGAGACCTCTGCATTTTCTTTGCTTGTTTAGGGCAAGAAATGAAGTGCCGCCTCTTTAAGCGGCAGGAGCATGCAGGAGGAGCATACCTTTAATTTAGTGTTGGGATACCTTACTTGCACCCTGGCTGTTGTCTTATTGGAGACGGCAGCCTGCCTGAGATCCTCTAGCACTGAAATAATATCATCCAGCACGCATTTCTTATCCTGATTTCTCAACACACACAGATGGGAAAAAGTATAATTATAGCCCTTGTGGTTCACCTTCATTTCCAGCACGGCTCGGTGGGTCTGCAGGATCCCCTCAGCCTGGAGCAAAATATTGTCCCCGGGTGGGGAGAGGAGGATCACCCTGCCATACCTCCCAGGGGTGTGTAAGTCCGAATACAGCTGGCTTTTGGACTGGTCCAGGGGGAAAAGGCTGCTGGCTAGGCTGCGCTCGATCTTGGCCAGGCTGTGGCTGGGAGCAACCAGGTGCTCCAGGTCGCCCTCGGTCTGGAAGCGGTTGAGCGCGCTGAGGCCGAAGGTGATGGTCAGGACTGCCGGCACGGTGAGGAAAAAGACCGGGTGCCGGCTCACACACAAGCCCAGCCTGTGGCAGAATGACTGGAGCCCTCTGCGAAACACCTGCCGCAGCATCCTCCACCAGATCCAGCTCGCAGGCGCTCCCGGCCGTCTTAAAAAGCACATGTGACATGTGTAAGCGCCGGGGCTACCCCTCTTTCCCCCTTCCCATTCCCCCCCACCCCAGGGATAAGCCCCCCCTCTCCCCACCTCCTCCTCCGCCTCTTCCCCGCCCCCTCCCCGCGCACACCCCGCAACCGCTCCGCCCGGTCTTCCCCCGGCCCCACCTCCATGCGCTCTTACTACTCTTTCAAACACTGCAGCAAGTTGCAGCAAGGCCGGCAAGTCTCGGGAGCGCGCGTGGGGGCCGGACGGCGGGAGGGAGCTGCGGGGGGTGGCGGGGCCCACCCGGTGTCCCCGTCCTCCCCTCGCCCTGGCCGGCCGCGCGCGCTGCCTCTCACCGCATGAGCCGCGCGTCCCCTCGCTCTAGCCCTTCTTCATGTCGCTGCTGCAGTCCCCCGGCCTCCTTCGCTGGATGGTGGCTGTTCTGCGCGGAGCGTCCCACAGAGGTGGATTTCCTCTCTGTCCCGATGGGCTTCGGTGTCTATCTGGGACCATGTGCCTCTCGGTGTTGTAAGAAGCAGACATGTGCCCCGTGGCGCGGAGGGAGGGCGGGAGTAGAAGGGGGGGGGGCAGCGAAGCTTTTCTCTTTTTAAGATGCTGACAGTTATTTTTAGAGTTTTGTTTTCCTTCTTCTCCGGGCTAGAATGAATGGGAGAGGTAAAGGGTGAAGGCGCTGCTGGCCCATTGGAGCAGGGGCCATCAAGAACCTAGGAGGGAGGGGCTCCATGCTCCTCCAGGGGCAGATTTTAAGCTCCTCTTTCTGCCCCGTGCCCTCGAATTCTGTCTTTTGGCCAAAGAGGAGGAAGCAGAGAGGATGATGCTGCATTTTTAACATTCCACAAAGCATGCAAGGACTTTCCTTGCAACACTTTCCAGGCTAATTGGTCCCCTGAGCTGGGGCCTGCCAGAGACCCCATCTATACTCCTGATTGGGGCTCTCCAGATTCTTCCTTGCTCTGGAGGCTGGGAAGAAAGCAATTGTAGTGTGTGTGTGTGTGTGTGTGTGTGTGTGTGTGTGTGTGTGAGAGAGAGAGAGAGAGAGAGAGAGAGAGAGAGAGAGAATAAGGCAGATAAAGCGGTGTGGCTTCTCAAGTATTATACACATGTTCTGTAAGCTTGAGGTTTCAGGACCTAAAGTTTTTAATACTGGCTTCTGCTCCTTCTCTATCGCTTCCAACCCCCCCCCCCCCCGCTCTTGCTTTCTTATCACAGCTGCTTCCGGGCATATAGTTTAGGCTAATTTTCCCCTGTTGGGAGAATTTCAGATGCAAAACTTTCAGAGACACAGCAGGCAGTTTCGCCTGAAGAAAGGGAGCTAGGTGGGCAGGGGACAGCATCCTGCAGATCTTGCAGAAAACACTTAGGTCTCCATCATAGAGAAAGAAAACTCCCACATGCCCCGAAGTGTGAAGGCCCGAACTCCCCCCTAGCAGACTAGGTCAATTTCAAACATTTGTGCATAATTTTAAACCTGCTGGGGGTATTCCTAACTTCCTGTGGGGGGGAAAATACAAAACGAAACAAACAAAAACAAGATGAAGAAATCCTGAGAACAAATTGTGCAATTTGGTTGTGAACTGATTTTCCCAGGTTGTAATGACTTCCGTAAAGAATACAATCTCCACGGGTGCTGTGTGCTCAAGTTCTTAGTAACAGCCAGAGACCCATTTTCCATCAGAGGCTTAGAGGAACGCACATCCCAGCACTCAAACAGCTAACGGGCTCATCTTCTAAACAGATAGTTTATTTATTTATTTTTCTTTATTGGAAGCGATCCCTCATCTAAGGCAGCAAATAAAACGCCGTAGTTTAGGAGTAAAGATACCATTTGAAGACCAGAATTTATAGGATTGTGTAAACACGGTTACATAAAGTTTCCAGCCTTATAAAACTGAAATGTATCTTCATAACTCTGTTGGGAAATAGTTTCTGTAATATCCTTGGTAGTTCACCAGCCAGCCCAAGCTACAACCTTCTTCACATCTAAGACCTTTCCAGTTTCCTAGGAAGGTCATTCTACTGTTAGACTGCCACTCCTTGTGTTGAGCTGAACTCAGTGACTTTGCCACACTCGCCTTCAGTGAGAAGCCTTTTCTGTTTTCAACTATCAGATTTTAATACCACTTACAAGTTATTCCATCAGTGCCAGGGGATACAAAACTTTTGGTTATGCAGCAAAAAGAGAAAAGTATATCAGGGTTGGAGATATAGCTCAGCGGCAAATAGCGCTTGTTGTTGTAGAAGAGCTAAGGCGGTCACCACCACCTACCTGGTGGCCCACCACCCTCAGTATCTCTGACGTCATGGAAGCCATTGCCCTCTTCTGACCTCCACAGGCACCAGGGATGCACATTCTGTGCACATATGTATATACACACACGCCTATTCACTCATATGCACACAAAACAAATGAATCTTAGATAATAGGTTTTAAAATATCTATCAATGATTTTCCTCAGTCTCTTGATTATATTAAGTAGTAGATTTGGTCATATTCTTCATTGGAAATTTCTACGAAACTTAAAAAGTACAGCAGTAAGATTTGAAAAGGGACTCTGTTGAATAAATTACCTATTCCGTTCTATAAACAAGAGCCTTAGACAGTAGGGAGGTTAGGGTGCTCCCACAGGACACCCAGAGTTATCACGGAAGCTGGGACTAATATATGAGTATTTTCTTTTTCTGCCCATCATGTTTGCCCTGTTCCCAACAGTAGACACCCGCTTCAGTTACCACAGAATACCTGATTGCTATAATTATTTTTTCCTAGCTTTCTCTTTGCACTCCCTTCATTTCTTTTCCTAATAGGGTCATCTTAATTGGGGGGGGGATTACAGTATATAATTGACTAAAAATAAAGTATAATAGATTGCTGAAATGAATAACATAAATACACATCATGTAGAATTATAATACTTGGAAATACTCTTACTGTTAGTGAGAATTATGTACTATATGAAACCACCTAAAAAGATACAGGAATATGCACAGATGAAAGATAAAGGTGGCATCAAAATATTTCCATTTATAATTTGGTTGTGAGACTGATGGTGACAAAATAAAATTGGCTTAATTTTAGGTGCTTTAGGTTGTAGAAAATTTTACAAAGTACAGGGAGTTGAGTTCTAACCATTATACAATTTCTTTCATTAGTAATATACTAGTAAAGTACATTTGATGTAATTACTGAACCAGCTTTGATTCATTAGTATTAATTGAATAAACGCTTATTCAGATTTCTTCAGTTTCTAACCCATTTTCTTTTTCTGTCCCAGGATCTTGTCTATATATCCACATTACATTCAGTGGTCATATTTACTTTGGCCTCTTTTAATTGTGACAGTGTTCCAGACAGGGCAGTCTTTTGCTTTTGATTGATCTCCTTGAAAGTTTGGAGGAGAATTCATTGTGCCCTTTTAGAATTTTTCCTTAGTTGGAACTATGGGGTATTTATGTCAGGATTGGATGGAGTTTGGTGAAGAAAGAACACAGGGGGAAAGTGCTGGTTTTGTATCCCAAGGATGTGTTCCGTCAACATGACCCTTAATGTGAGCCCAGCTGCTTTCCTGAAGTCATGATTATCGGTTCTCTTAATCGTGAAATTAACCATATTCCATACTATATTTTTGAGAGGGAACTTGCTAGATGCGTCTACACTAGAGGGATGGAGAGCTAGCTCTCCCTCTTTCCTTCTTGAAGATAGGTCTGCAAATAATTTGAAATTTTTCTATGCAGGATACTGGTCTATTTTACACTACTATTAGCTTTTAGTTTCCTTGATGTAAACCTATAGATATTTCTTTATACTTCACATTATGATTATAGATGGCTGGATTATTCAGATTATTCTGAATTTAGCCCTTGACCACATTTTCAGTTGAGTCTTTGACTCCCAAATCCGTTTGACATATCCAATTCTTATGGGGTGCCTTTTCTCTCTCTTTTAAATGAACATGCATTACTATATAATCTTACAAAATTGTCCGGGTTCTCCTTATATCTTACTAGTTCTAGAATTAGCCACCTTTTCTAGAAGTCTTGAATATTTTGTTTGTGTTGTTTTGGAAATTATGTCAAAAACAAAGGTTTTTGCTGTTTGCTTTCTTGTTTGTTGATTGCCATTATTTTTAGCCCCTCTCGGTAGACAGAGCAGGATATATGTATATACATATCTTACAATATATCCTTTGTTATTTTATTAAAAAATATAGTTTATATTAGTACAAAAGGGTTTACATTGATGCATTTTTCCATTATACAGTGCTACACAGATAGCTGTAGTCCATCTTTTTTTTTTTTTTAAATATTTACTTTGTATTCAGTGTTTTGCCTACATGTATACTTGCACACCAGATCTCACTATAGATGGTTATGAGCCACTATGTGTTTGCTGGGAATTGAACTTAGGACCTCTGGAAGAGTGCTCTTAACCTTTGAGCCATCTCTTCAGCCAGCTGTAGTCCATCTTTCTTTCTAATCTGTAACCTGAATTCCACAGTGGAAAACCTGGCTTTTGAGGTACCTTTCAAGTTGGTTTTTTTTTTTTTTTTTTTTAACGATAAAATGTATCAATTCCTATTAGGAAAAAAGGTTTAAATGAAGAAAGAAAGAGAGTCACTTCTCTTAATTTTGATACTTTTGAGAAACTAACATTAAATACAACCAGGGAGTCATTAGAAAGACAAATTATACACTAAGAAGGAGAGATGTTAGAAATGATCAATCTATAGAAAGCTAATCTTTGCTAAAACATCAATGGATATGAATCACATGATAATTCTTGCAAGCACGTCTTGAAATAAACCTTAATAGAGAGCTAAAAGCAGTTGTATTTGGGGAAGTATCAATAACAGCACAATAATCAATAATGTTTAATTCATACAGCCTTCATTTTTTTTAATATATTGGTCAATATCACGACTTAGAGCCAAATTAGAATTTATGTGGTGGTTCCTTCATGCAAAGGACTCCAGGGGATACAGAATGTTTCCACAACTCACTTT